GCTGAAGTTATTTGCAGTTGGTGTCATGGCATGAGGGCACCTTGGGTGGTATTTGTACCCACACTGGCTTTTGTTGTGTGACCCATCTGGTCCCTGGAGGAGAGTGGGAGCTGTTGGTGTCGAGGTTGGATGTGATGTCTGCACTGACTTGTTGCTTAGTGTTCTTGGCAGACGTGTAGGGAATGTATTTCCTCGTGGGTTTTTTTACTTGACCCTTCCAAATCTGTGTGAGGAAGGCTGTTGTCTGGAGAGGGGCAGCTGTGAGAGGCTGTTATGAAGGCCCTGAGTGATCACTCTGGAATTTTTTGAGCAGCCCTCGATGGCTCTCAGCAATGCTCTATCAAAAGCTGGCTGTGTTAGTGTCTGTCCAAAAATGGAACAGAGGGGGTTAATGAAGTCAAGGATTAGGTCCCTAATCTGTGCCAGGACTGCTAGAAATGTAGGGTTTTTTTTGGTCACATGCTAGAAAAAGCAACAAAGGACAAGCATGAGGATTTTCACCTCTCTCAGAAGCCTTCTCTCAACTATGCTTCCCTGGCTTTCCTTTCAGCTGAGGCAGTGAACCCAAGGATCAGGTGATGACTTAGAAAAATGGTCCCATTCTCCTGGAAATGAAGAGCTCAGGTGCTGGTAAAACTGTTGGCTGGCTTTTTTTTTTTTTTCTTTACTGTTTTACAATTCCAGAGTGAGGTTCCTCTTTCCAGAGACTCAGGTTTAACTCTTGGCCAGGTGTTCTCAGCCATGCACAGTGCCCTGCCTGGGGTCTGTGTCAGGGGCAGGTTGTGCAGGGTGCATTGAACTTTGCATTCCTCTCAGGAGGGTGGGAGTTGGGTGTCTAATTGCTCCCAGGCTGAGCCCTGAGAAGCTGATGAGTACAAGAAACAGCTGTATTGGCTTCCTGGGTTGGAATGAGCTGCGTGGTGGTTTGAAAACTAAAGCATTAAAGAGTTCTGGTTATTTCAGTACTCATCTACATTTTTTGTGTGTGTGCAGTGAAACTGGACTCAACCCATTTTTTCCAGGCTCCTACTTGAAAGTGCTGTCTAAGCTGTGGGCAGGGATGGGAAAAGGTGACCAAGGTCCATGTGCTGGTGTCAGAGCCTTTATGAAGAGCTTGTTAGATCAGGACAGAGGTGATAGGAGAAAACACTCCTGCCTGGACCAGCAGTGACCTCTTGTGGGTAGAGAGGCTGCTGGGGGTGCTGGGAGCTGGCACTTGCAGTCAGAGGGTGTTATTCTATCTGTGGCCTTAAAGTGGATGTGGTGAAGGGAACTTGGATTCTCTCTTGGCTTAAATATCAGAAACAAACAGCTGTAAATGGTGCAAAGTCTCTTTTCTTCCTCACACGTGTGTGCTCTGGGCTGGGATGGGAAATGGTGTCTTGATGGTTCAGGAGAAGCTCAGGCTCCTCTCCCTGGTGAACCCAGAGTTGGCCTTTGAGCGTTTCAGGGGAGTAAAACAGAGCAAGAGCAGAACTTCTGCTCATGTGCTTTTTCTGTGGAGTGTCTTTATCTCTGATAAAAGCTGTCTCACTGATCCTGCACTAAATCCAGGAGATTTCACAGTGCTGTGAAAGCAGGCCTTTGTCTGTGATATGCAGAGGTGCTGTGGGGTCTCAGCTCCTAATAATCACTTAAAAGTCCTAAGGCATATGACCAGCTTCCCAGTTAATGGGGAACTGTCTCAGCCCAGCTTCCTACCAGCTGCAGGGGCAGAGCAAAAACTTCTTGTTGAAGCTGGTTTAAAAAAAAATAAAAATTTAAAGGTTATGTCAGTACATTTTGTCTCATGGTGGAGGTAAATTTATGCAGTTACAGCTCAACCAGTGCCTCATAAGATGCAGAGTGTAGCCTGTGTGTCAGAAAGCTCTTTGAGTGGCTGGTGAGATGAATTCAAGTCAGGAAAAAAGATTTTTTTGTCTTTTCACCAAACACCAGGTTGCTTCATCTCCCTGTGCCTTAAAAAGCATCTGAAAGCCAAGTTCTCAAAGGAGATTTTTCATTGTGTCTGTTGCTTTATAACAAGCTACTTGCTTAGATTTTTTTTTTTTACTTCTGAGCTACAGACAATGCTGCCTTTGAGTTGACATGTATCTTTGGGCAGTTTCCAAATATTTCTGTTCTCTGGACAACTGCAGATTCCTTGGGAGTGAAGGTAGGAATGTGTGTTTGGGCAGAGGCAGCTGCACTGCTCCCCTGCAGTTGGAAGGTGACAACCCCAAAATGCCAGGAATGCCACGGAGATGCTGGATGTCTTGGATGTGGAGATGCCAAGAAAATGAAAGGTGGTGGGAATCCTTAGTAAGAAGTTATTTGCCTTTTATTAATCAGTTTTAAAGCACAAACTCCTTGTGGGTGCCCTGCTGTTGAGTGGTGACTTCTGTGTAAACTTATATTCCTACTTTAGAGAACAGGGAGAGACCCAGCAGAAAACCCTCTGCCCGACTTATTTCTGATTGCTAAGACAAAGATACATTTGTTTATTTCTGCAACACCTGACGACCTAACAAACTGTTTTTTAAAAGCGAGGAGAGGGGAATATCTGAATTACAGCCACAGGGAAATGCAAATTCTGGATTTATTTTGATTCACTCTCTGGCAAGGCCTAATTAAGCTGTGTTACGGAGCCACATCCAACACCCAAAATAAAAGCAACACTCAAAGGCCAGGGTGTTTGATGGTGTGGTTTGTCTGGATGTTTGTGATAGTTAGGGGAGTGTCTTGTGCTATAAAAGTGGGGAAAGGGGAAACCAAACAACAAGGAAGAAGCCAAGAATGTGTAAGAACAACAACTGGGAATGCAGCCTTGACAAAGCTTTGTCTCGTGGGTTTATTGGGGTGGATCAGATGGTAGCTAAAGAAAGGCTGGAATAATGATAAGTTAAAAAAAGCTATTAGTGTCAAACTGTGTTCAGGGGAAATGCAAGTTGCTGCAACTTCCTTTTCCTATAAAGGACATGCAGAGGGCATCAGGCTCCAAAATAAACTCCTAAAAGTGAAAGCCTGCTCGGCTGAAGTTTAACTGAGTGGTAATAAAGGGCAAAAAGGGTAAGCTGAAAGACAATCTTGTTTCCAGAGGAAGGAATTTTAACAGAACAACTGACTGATGCCCCAAGCACACCAGGCCTGGATGTAGCTGGGGACTTAGTGAAGAGAGCTTTAAAAGGCTCTGAAGTTCTATCCAGCAGCTTCTCAGAAAGGTGTTGGTGTGACTCGTCCCTGGAGGTGCCTCTGGAGCAGCAGGATTGTCTTTGGGTGGCACAGGGAAGGCAAGTGTCAGATGGTCTATTTGTGAGGTGCTCTGTGGTCCTGACCCTCGTGCCCCCCTTTTTTGTACTGTGGCAAAACTGATTTAAATCAATGTGATAAAAAGCTCTAAAGGCTTCATTGAGCACTGGCACCCAACCCAAGGCAGCCAGGGCTGGATGTTACCGAGAAGCTCTTTGTGAACTGGCAGAGTGGGTGTGAAGGCTCATCCTGCCAAACTGATGATGTGTCCCCCAGGGCTTCCAGGATTCATTAGAAAATTGGATTTGAACTTGCAACTCAAAACCAGACGAAGGTAATAAAAAACTTAAGGAGGCAGTGGAGCTGCAGGTTTGAGTGCAGCTGTGCAGCACAGCAGTGGAAGAAGAAATGGCTGCAGTGGAAAAACCCGCTCTTGAAAAAACATGTAAGCAGTGGTGGCCCTCTTATACATCTGAGGGGAGCGTGGGGTTATTTTTTAAGAAGTGGAATGATGTATTTTCCAGTAAAGTTTTCATAGTGCAAAAGCAGAGTTCAATTAAATACTTGTTACCCTGAAAAAGTTACTCGATTGCAAAACGGTGTGTTTTAAATACAAAACTGGTCGAAAGAAGTGATTTGAAATGTTGAGAACTCTCAATTTGGAAGATGGGAATGTAAAACTGAAAGGACACCGTGGCCAAAAGTGACATGAAGACATGAAATCGTTTGTGTTTTTTTAAGGTGCTTCCATCAGGTGTGTTTTCTGGGGTGTGTTAAGTGGCTTCGGGGTGCTGGGAGAAGTTTGAGTGGGGACAGCTGGTTTTACAGGTCCCAAAAAAACGTGTTAAAAACTGAGTTCAGCAGGGGTCCTTCATGGCTGGGAAATGATTAAACTGTTTGAGAGAACAAGACACCTGAGACAGCAACGCCCTTTGAAAATGGAGCACATCCACATCAAAGGTGTAAAGCATGAGTTGTGTTTGGAAGCCAGTAAAGGATCAGGCAAACAAGGACATGCTTTCAGCCTGTGAGTTCTTTGAAGGGGAGGCAGGGTGGGGGAAAGCTCTTTCTTATCGACAGAACTGTAAAATCCGTTTAACACGGGAGTGAACGCTCTGTTGTGTCTCCTGAGGCTTTTCCACTCCACGGGGTGCAGGATGGAGCAGGATGCTGTGAATCAGTGCTGGAATGTGGAAGGTGGAGGTAACACTGGTGTCACCTGGGGAGGGTGAGCGACCGGTGGTGTGTGTTGCTGATAAACCTTTCTTCTGGACATCTGAACGTGTTCCAGTGTGCCCCCGGGTGTTCGTATATCTGTGCAAACACCGATAGATCTGGCTCAGAAGGGGCAGGCGAACTGTGCGCTGTCCTGGGGGAAGAAGGTCCCGAGAGTAAAAGTAAGGAGTCAGCAGTAAAAATAAGGAAACGACAGTAGAACAGGCGTTTGTTTCTGACCTGTCCTGTGGCGGCGGGGTTTTTTGATTTGAAGAACGGAGGTGTTTTCTGTGCCGCGGAGCCGCAGCCGCTTCGCTCCCAGCGCTCCGCCGTGCGCGGCTCCCGGTGCCGTCCCCGGGGATTCCCTCGGGATCCGGGGGCAGCGGGGGGGCCGGGCCGGGCTCACATGACGGCGGGGGCGGGTCGGGTCCCGCCGCTGCCGAGCCGGCCCCGGCTCCTGCCGCTCCTGCCCTCCCCATCCCATCCCATCCCGTCCCATCCCGGCGCTCCCGCGGGAGCGCTCCCGTCCCGCCGCGGCTCCTCCATCCCTCGCCGCTGCCGGGACCGGTGCGATGCCCGCCCCGCTGCCCCCGACGGAGCTGCTGGGCTCGGAGCGGGCCGTGGTGCTCGTGTCCTGTGTCCTGTCCTGCGTGGGCTCCTCGCTCCTGCTCTGCTCCCAGGCGCTGTGGCCGGAGCTGCGGACGCGGCCGCGGCAGCTCCTGCTCTACCTGTCGCTGGCAGACCTGCTCTCGGCGCTCTCCTACTTCTACGGGGTGCTGCAGGACTTCGACAGGACCTCCTGGGACTGCGTCCTGCAGGGCGCCCTGTCCACCTTCGCCAACACCAGCTCCTTCTTCTGGACCATGGCCATCGCCCTCTACCTCTACCTCACCATCGTCAGGGGCTCGCCCACGGGCACGGGCTTGCTGTGCTGCTTCCACGCCGTGAGGTGGGTGCTGCCTGCGGCTCCTGGGAGGTGGGGACCCCCCGACACCCACCCCGTGGCCAGGAGCCCCCACTGCTCCGCTCCACGATGGAGCGCTTGGATGGCCGCTGGAATCACCTGTGCTTCCCTCAAGGATAGCGTCTGTGTCCCCCTCTCAGATTCCTTTTAAACGTGGATTTTGCTGTCTTGTAACCAGCCAACCCTGCTGGTTACCCTCCCCCTTCCCCCCCGCTCCCTTCCCAAGCGAAGAACTGGAGACGCGGAAAAGTTAAAAATGTTTTTGCTCAAGGTCACATAGAAAAATCTCTGCCAAGTTATAACGACTCTAAAAATCCTGGCTTCTGCCTTGACATCCTGGAAATAATATCCTAAAACTTGTGTTTGCGATACCTGTCTGGTGTTGCCAAAACCCCCGTGTTTGGGATCTGTTTCCATGGGTCCCTGACTTCCCTGGTGTGTGGATCCTTCCCCCTTTCCCCGGGCAGGTTGCTGTAATTCAATACCCACAGGAGAGTGTCGTCTGCAAGTGATGAGGCTGCTGCTAGAAAAGCATTCTGAAGGTTGTTTTGGCGTGTTTGATTGAAAGCAAGACGAGCCAGACCGCAGTGTAGCTTTATGTCTCGGTTGCTGTTATTTAGGGAGCTGATTTTCCACAGCATGTTCAGTAAAAGCTTTCATTATGCAATGGGAGCTTGTGGAATCATGTGCTGCGTCCACGCTGAGCAAAACAGTGATCCTTTAGTCCTCCTTGTTGCCAAGCTTTTGCAATAAATTATAAGAGGAATGATCTGCTTTAAAAGGGGGGGGGAAGTCATTGGGACAAACACTGAATTTTCTTTGGTTTCTTAGTCAAATATTTGTCACCTTTTAGTTTCAAACACTATCAGTTGGGAGATGATTGAATTAGAGTGCAGGTAAGGATGTGCCACAGAAAGACTTTAAGGCTGAGTGTGAATCAGGGAGAAACTTCAAGTCCTGCCCTACCTGTTCTAATTCCTGCTTGACAGCAAGGGCTGTGTGTGAGGAAGCCTGAGGTGACTGGAAACACCAGGTTGGTGGTGGAGAAGCTGAAATAAGATGCAGTGAGACAGTGGAGGAGTTTTTTAGATTATTTAATCTCAAGTAAATAGAGAGCTCTGAGAGCTGTGGGAGGATGGAGCGCCAGTGAAGAGCCACAAGTTGCTTAATGGACAGAAAACAGAAGTCTGACTCCTTCATGGCCATGCTGGCTCCATCAGGAGACATCAAAGAGTTGAGGCAAATCTGGTCTATTTGTAATTTTCTTGTCTGCTAATTGCTTGTGTGGTTTTTGCCTGTATTTGTTTCTCCATCTGGTTTAATGCTCCTCAGCCTCGTTGGCTACAAAGTGCAGAAAGGAACAGCCAGAGCGACTGAAACAGGGTTGGCTGTAATCTGTGCACTCTTTCAAAACTGTAAAAGCCCTGAAAGATTGCTCTGCTTTGTGACACAGCTCAAACTGAGCTGCCCTCTGGGTGAATTCGTAAGTTTATTTTCAGTTCTTTACAACGAAACTAAATGCCATCTTCTGCCCTTGGTGTGGATCAGCACCACTCGCTCTGTTAAAAGGGTATGGGCAGCACTCACAGAGCACCTGTCATCAGGTGCTGCTTTGTAAATGCCTCCTGCTCTGTGCAGAGCCAGTGGTTAAAGCTGCTTCTGCTTAGGAAAACTCAGAGGAAAACAAGTGAGGACCTGTTCTCTGCCCGTCCCCTCGTGACACATCATCCTGCTTCCCATCCCTGCGCTTTGGTGGTTACCTGAGAACTCAATCATAACGTGAAATTCTGGATGTAATGCCTGAAGGTGGCTCCCCCTCACCCTTTCCAGTGTTTCAAGGTTCCACTGGAAGTCTGTGGTGCTGGTAGCCTAAAAATCTACTAGAACCACTTCTACCAATGTGTCTTTTTGTATATTAGTTGCAGGAGGAGTGTGGGAGACCTGTCTAGGGCAAAAAGAAAGGTGACAAAGGCAGGTAATGAAAGTTAAATTTCTTTTCTTTTTTTTTGTCCAGGCAAGAACCTGAGATTTTTTTGTTTTCCCCCCTCCTTGCTTTGTAGTTTGCCAGCACAGTCATGCAGCGACCATTGTGTGAAGAGTCATTCCAAGGCACGTTTGGAAGGGATTCAGGGCAGGATGGAGTTTTGTCAGACATGTTTCCCATTCTTCACCAGCAGCTGCTCACAAGGGGCAAGTGTTTGTAAAGACGAGTGCTTTGTTGATGTCAGGTGTAACCAGAGACTTTATTCTTTAGCTGAGTGGAGCTGACTAAATACATGTTGGGAAGTCAGGACCTGAAAGTCTCCGTAGGGAAATGAGGATGTCACACTGGACCAAACCTGCCAAACAGGTTTGTCCCTCAGCGATTCATGTGGTAACACATCCACCTCTTCTGCTGCTGGGCTGGAGAGCTGCAGCCTCTGTTTGGGTTTTAAACTTGCCCAGCTCAGAGGAGCTTTGAAAACAAGCTTACACTTAGCTTTGGAAATATTTATGCAGTTGTAAAGTGTGAGTTCTGGCATCCAGAGCATAAAGAACCAGGCTACCTCGTGTTCTGAATTTCTGAATATCTAGTTGGGTAATGTCATCTCTGTTGTGAGAGCAGCTGATCCAAACTGAGGGTGAGGAGTGGACCAGACAGACAGAGCCCATCTTAGGATTAGGGTTTTTTTCTTGGCTTTTGACAGCAATTGCTGACAAGCTTTGAAGTATTTTTATTTTGTGATCAGGCAATGCATACAAGCATATATATGCTTTATTTATAGCGCTAATAAATAATATTTAATCATTATAAGCATATATATGCCTTGTTTGTATATATACATATAAATGTGTGTTGGTTTATATATACATTTATGTACATATACATGCATGTCCATGGAGTACTTGGGGTCCTTTCATGTACTACTGTGCTGTTCATCTCAGTCCTTGCTGGGCTGCCTCATGCATGCTTAAATCAGGGCAGATTTCCTCTGGAGTTCTGCTTGCAAGGTGTACTCAAAGCTCTTTTCCTGGAATATTGGCTGGGGTATCCAGAAGATTGATTTTTCTTTCTCTGCAGAGGATAAATTCCTGCCCCCAGAAGGAATTGCCTGCAGGCCTGCTGGCAGGTTGGCTTGTAGTCTGACCTGTGCAGGCAGGTGACAGCAAATCACCTCTTGTAAGAGCCTCTAGGGAGGAAAAAAAAGCAGCTGTGCAGCATAAATCAGAATTATGGTTATTAAACAACCTGACCCAGGCACACTGAGGACAAGAAAATCAGGACAAGTCCAGCTGAATGCTGCTGGAGTTTAGGGGTCCTTGTCCTGCCTTGTTGTGGTGTTGATGTGCAAGGATAACAGTGGGTTATATGTTTTTTTAGTAATCCATTGCCAGGAGCTGTATTAGGGGAATAAGAAGTGTTGTGTCTGCCTTAGAGATGGGATCTCCACCCGTCCTACAGAGATGCAAGGAGTTGTCATCTTCCCCTTCTCTCCCACTCCGATTGTATTTAGATCCAAGTGTGCTTTGGAGAGGCCCAGCCCACACAATTGCTCTTGGAGGCTCAGAGGAATATTTCTGCCTCTCTGTTATCCTGGATCCCTTTCATTCCACTCTTTACATGCCTTGGGTGATGACTCCTGGTTCCTCAGCTCCTCCGTTCCTCCAGCTGGGTGTAAAGCGTTGGCATTTTGCAGTCCTGGTGAATCTGTCATTTAGGAGTTCTTAAGAACAACCAACTCACCAGTCTCAGTTCTCCTTTCCAGTTTTCTAAAATGGAGCTGAAGTTCACTGAAATGTCTGATTGCTTTCTAGATCCTTTCTGACTTCACTTTGAAGTGGTGTTTCTGACTTCACTTTGTCCTTGGTGTTGGTCGTAAATATCCATCTGATCCCAACGTGCTATTCCAGTGAAAATTAACTGCCTGCTGTGCAGCAGTTTTCTTCCACATTATTCCTTTCCCCACTTATATACTGAAGATTTTTGTAACTCTCTTGCCTTGGGGTCTGATATTTCCTACAGTGGCTTCTCTGGCTGTGTCTGTGTGGACTTAGGCTGTTTTACATCCACACACAGAAATTTGAGCTGCTTTTATTTTGATTCTCTCTCAGTTTCAGGTCACTGTTGAGATGATTATTTAGAGAAATTAGTTTTTTAATTCACTTCCTTTTTCTTGGTACCTGTGTGCCTTAACTTGGTTTGTCTAAGGAAATGCCAGTTCTCTTGAATTCCTTACCTTAATTCTTCCGAGTGAGCTGAAAATGGAATGTCTTGGCACGTGGGATGGTTTTCAGAGAAATCACCATTTTTTACCAAAACGAGTCTTGGATTGTGTGGAAACTGTCAGGGTGGTGGTGACGTTTGGGATGTTTTTAGAAAGCCTGCTCTGATAACAGCGTGGGGAGGGCTTCCTGCAGCACCACTGTCCTGAAATAACAGCACTGGCTTGGGTCAGCACTGCCTGTTCTGAGCTGAACATTGAAACAAAATGTCCTAAACACGCTGAAGACTTGACTCTGACATTTTTTACAGTGTTACATTCACATTTGTTTGTTTTGTGAGCAGGTGAACATGGACGTTATTTAAGAGTAGGAAATGGGGTATTTTTTGAAATCTAATATCACGGGATTATCTCTGATTCTTCAATTGGAATTTCAGATAATCTGGTCAAGGCAACTGCTGTTTGCCTGCATAGTCTGGTGCCTGTGGAACCCATTTTTGGGAGGAAGATCCTTTCCATGCTCTCTGCAGCTGCTCCAGGCTGTCAGTGAAAGACAAGCATGAACGAGGAAGGTACTGAGAGCAAGAATTTGTTTTCTCTGCACCTGGGGAGCCCAGGAGGGTTGTGCTGGGAGCTCAGTCTGAGCACTTTCAAGCATTTATGGCATTTATTGAATGTCTCTTGTCCCTCTTCAGGCTCCACAGGGTTTTCCCCTGAGGATGGACGTGGGAAGGGCAGGTGATGCATTCAGCTGGATGCAGGGCACTATTTCAGCCCTGGTGTAATTTTTATGTTTCTGTGGGCTCATGGAATTTTTCTCTTCTTCCTTGTGGCTTCTTGTGGGCAGCCCAAGCTGCTGAGTGACAATTCATGTGTGTCACCACAGTTGTTTTTCTTCTAAATGCTTCCTTATATTTGCCTCTGCTGTCAAGAGACAAGCTGAAGTCACAGCTCCAAATTATGTGAATGTGGCTCCTCTTGGCATTCTTAGCTTTCTGCTGTTACTGCCAGTACTTTTCCTTGGGAAGAAACTTGTTCTTTGTCCTTCAGAAATTATGCTTTTGCTCCCAAAATATTTCCTACACCTCCACTTAAAAGCAAACCAAACCAAACCAAACCACTGATGGAATAAAGTTGTGGATTTCTTTGTGTGCTGGTCCTTTATGTGCCAAGTGTCACTTTGGAATCAGAGCGTGGGATTTGGCTGCTTGTGTTCTGAAAGCCCTGAGTGAGGTGGCTGAGCCCTGCAGGGCAGTCACATTGTGCAGTGCTCTGGACTTGTCATATCCTCAGCCTCACCTGTATCCAAGGGAGAAGGGGAGTAGGTGGGAAGGTGGGATGTCTCCTCTTCACCCTGAGTGTGCTGTGCAGGCCAGGTCAGAGTGTAGCACATCATTATACATCTGTCCTTCAGGACTGGGGATCCAAATCCCTATAATGGGTCCTTAGGAAATGGATTTGCAGTCCACATCCACACACTGTCTGACTGTCAGCCCCTTCCCTTCAGCCTGATGGTCTGGAACAACATTGGCATCCTGGCTGATGGAGAATCCCTGACCTGCCACCCGTCTCCCTGAGGTGTGGGGGGAACTAAACTGAGGATGTTCTTGGCTTCACCCTGCTCTCTGTGCTCTCCCCTCAGCTGGGGTGTCCCCCTTGGCATCACGGTGGCAGCTGTGGCTCTGAAGAAGATTGGCTACGACGCCTCCAACGTTTCCGTGGGCTGGTGTTGGGTCAACCTGGATGCTGAGGATCGTGTCCTGTGGATGCTGCTAACGGGGAAAGTCTGGGAGATCCTGGCCTATGTGACCCTGCCAGTGCTCTACATCCTCATCAAGAAGCACATCAACAGAGCAGTGAGTACTGTGCTGGGTTCAGCTGGGCTTGCAGACTTGCTCTGTGGTTCTGCCTTCCCAGTGCTCTGCAGTTTTTGGGCCACATTTGGGCAGGAATTGCTTCTCAGCACTGAAATGTCCCCACTCTTGGGAGCAGCAGTGCCCCTGCAGCATCACACAGTGGCTTAGCACAGGGATGTAAAAACCTTTTGAGAACATACAGGGGTTATGGGATGTTCATGAGGGAAATGCTCAGTCCTACAGTAAGAACTGAAACAGGACGTGAAGGACAAAATTCCGCTTTAATCAGTGTTCTGCAGTTCCACTTGTACCCAGCCTGAGACTGGATTTATCTAACTTCAGTCCTTGCAGTATCAGTGAGGATAGTTTGTGTTTATGAATGTTTTGTACTGGCAGCATAAAGCACTGTTTGGGAGTCTGGGCACTATATGGCAACAGGCACCACACACACACTGCACAGGAGACACCCTGCAGGGTTTTGGAATTCAGAGCTTTAGTCGTTGCTGTTCCTTGTGAACACAAAGAATCCAGGCATCTGGGACAGCATTTGCATAACAGAGACATCTAGGTTGAGAGTGGCAGAAGGAACTGCATTCAGGGATTCCTTTTTTCCTCTAAGTTGTATTAGAGTTAAAAAAACCCTCCCAAGTGTCGATAGGTGTCCTTCTGGAAAATGCTGCCACTGCACTTGTGTAGCTGTGGCAGTTGTAGTAAGGGATAAACACCAATCTGGTTAGGGCAGGATCCTGCAGACAAGCTGGAAGAACAGGGTAGTTTTAAGCAGCCCTAAGTGTCCTGGGAAGGGGGAGTTGGGAAGGGTTTACTCGTGCCTGTCAGCACCACCTGATGTAACCCCAACAGGACACCGTGTCCCAGCCGCTGTCAAAGATAGAAGTGTGACCTCCTGGAAACCTGACCACCCCAAAAGGCTGGGCTACTGCTCCTGCTCTGCCAGGGATTCCTGGAAACTCTGCTCTCCCTCCCCAGTGCAGCCCTGACCCCGTGCTGGGTGCAGGGCTGAGGGCAGGAGGCTCTCACTGCTCTCACATGGGGGTCTGAGGATCTGGAGCAGCAGCTCATGGAACCTTCTGGACTGGAGCACCTCTCCTCATCCCTGGGGAATTTGCCAGGCCTGGAGCTGCCTGCTGAGCTTCCGAACTGGCAGGGAGCCTCCCACTTCCAAGGAAGAGCAATAGGCAACCAGAGCAGGGCTTGGGGCTGTGTTCTGGCTGAAGGGAGTGTGGCAGGAGCGGCTCCTGCACAGTCAGAGGCAGGAGGAATTCTGGAAGGAGCTGTTGTGGGGGACACACACAGGGTGTGTCCCGAGGGCTTTCCAAAGGGAAAAGACTGCATGGGGGTGGGTGGGAAGCTGCACTGAAAGCCCTCAGTGGGACTGGACTGAGCCCACTGTGCAGTGTGGTGGTCACACAGCTCTGTCCTGTTGGGAATGAGGTGTCGGGACTGGCAGGACTGGAGCGAAGGAGAACCCGAAGCATCAAAGCTGTGTGTGCTCAGTAACCCTGATGGCAGGAGGAACAGTTTCCTGCAGGTCAGTTCTCCAGAGATTTAACCTGATCCGGGGCACAGATCTTCTTTTTTCTTTTTTTTTTTTCCCTACATGTGCTGGCACAGAGAGGTTTGTCCAAATCTGCAGAAGCCCATTGCTGACAGTACATGATCAGAAATCAGGCAGCAGGTTCTACACAAATATATTTATATATTTCCAGATATGTATATATATATATATTTTTTATATATATATGTATGGCAAGAGGCCTTCACAAGGCTGAATTCTCAGCCCCCCATTTACACAGTCCTGGCCAGCAGCACTGCCCCAGCAAAACTATTTGATGGAGCACCACGTTTTTATTTATATTCTTATGACCCAGTCTCTTGGCAACTACCTGGTGATGTTTGCAAGTATAAAGCTTTAGTGGGACTCTGATAAGGGCTGGACCTCCCTTATTTGCCACTCCCTGGCTTCAGCAGGAATGTTTGTGCCTGCAAAGGCAGAGTGTGGCCGGTGCTCACAACTGTGCCCTTGTTAAATTCCTGCAGGATGCAGAGATTTAATTTGCTCTGGAAAGAATCCCTCCCTGGAGCTGAATCCAGTGTATGTAGGTTTTTGTTGATGTTTTCTCTCTCTCCCCCTCCCTGGCAGCACGCAGCTCTCTCAGAGTACCGCCCCATCCTCTCAGGAGCACCCGCATTCCAGCCCAGGACTTCCATAGCGGACAAGAAGTTGATTCTCATCCCTGTCATCTTCATCTTCCTCCGCATCTGGAGCACTGTGAGGTTCATCCTGACCCTCTGCAACTCCCCTGCCGTGCAAAACTCAGCCCTGGTTGTCCTGCACGTGAGTATTCGCCAGGAAATGCATCGGGAGGGAGATGAGGTCTTGGTGCTCTCGATATCCCTTCTTTTGGCAGGATGCTGTGTTGTGAGAACACCTGCTCCCTACTGGCAGGTGCTGCCCGGGGATGCTCAGCCACAGCAATGCTTCCAGCAGGGGCAGTGATTCCAGCAGCAGCTGTTTCAGCAGCATCTAGTGGCTGCAGGATGAAGCTGCAGCGGGGAGGGATGGACAGTGCCAGCTGCCTGGAGAAGCTGCTCAGACCAGGAATGCTGGGTGTCTGTCCTTCAGGAGGGCTCAGCCTGCTGCTGCCCCACACCAGGCTGCAGCAGTGCCAGCCCACAGCAGCTCTCTGCTCTGCTTTTGGGTGCTCTCTCTGGGGGGGGAAAAAAAAAAAAAAGCAGCTTTATTTTTTTCTGAATTTGTTTTTCTCGTTGAGGTGAAGTTGGTGACTGTCATGCAGCTGGTCTGACACGAGGTTTTCTCTTCTCTGGGGGGTGCCTGGAGGAGCAGCACTGGTTCATTCCTTTCTTGCCCTTGCAGGGAATTGGTAACACGTTCCAGGGAGGTGCCAACTGCATCATGTTTGTGCTCTGCACTCGGGTGGTCCGGGCTCGGCTGCTTTCCTTCCTCTGCTGCTGCAAACACGATGAGTCGGATTGGCCCTGGCAGAGATCAAACAGCTCCTGGCAGCGCCCAGAACCCCACAAGGACGTGCCAGGCCCTGAGCAGACAAAGCCACTGCTTTCCAGCACCTGAGCTGCCTCCACCTCAGCGTTGAGTCCTTCTTTCATGGTAAAAAAATCCAGTGTGAGTCTTTCCTCCTGCCTTGCCTGTGCTTCGTGGTCTGAGGGGTGGGGACAGCTACCAGGGAGCAGCTGGCAGAGGGGGGTTTCTGCTGCTGCTGCTGCTGCTGGGGGGGATTCCCTGTCTGACTTTGCAGGTCCTAAACCATTTATAGAACTGCTCCACCCCCCTTTCCCCCGAGCTGGGGTGGTGGCTGTTAATCGAGCCTGTAAAATGAGGAACTAGACTGCAGGGCTGTCTGGCCCTCAAAGACAGGACACCAGTGAAAACTGAAGAAGAGGAATTAGTGGCTCTTCTTGATGTAAAATACCACGTGCACACACATTTCATCAGCACTGCACAGTTCAGATGTTTAGTGCCCCGAGTTTTCCTCATGAGGCAATGCAATCCCTGCTGCCAGTCACCAGGAAAGGGAAAAGGAGGGGAAGTGATTCATCCAAGCCTGCTAGAAAGGCTCTAGGAGCAAAAATTCGACAGAAGCTCTTAATTTCAGACACGAGATGGGGCACTGATGTCCTTGCATTGTTGTGGAAGCACCTGGTTCCTCTGTGCTTGACCTCATGAGTGAGAGCTGCAGAATTTATAGGGGTGTCAAACAGTCCATTGCAGAGCACTTGGGGCCGGGGTGCTGTGTGGGTCTCTGTCTGTGAAGCAGGTATTGACAGAGCTCTCTCCAGGAACAGAGAGTGCAGCTGAGGGAGGTAAAACCTGGAGCAGCTGTCCTGACTGTTCAGATAAATGTGCTGGCATGTGCTGCCTCTTCAGGAAGAGTATGAAACCATCTGTGCTTCTGCAGTTGTACTTTTCCCTGCAGGTCACACTCAGTCCAAAGGGCTGAGCCTGAAAGGCAAATGCCTGCCTGGGACAGGGGATGAGCATCCTGGAGGGAAGGGGCTGTGGGGCTCCGAGGGGATCTCTCTTGCATACATCTCTTTCTTCTCCTCCCAGAACCACACAGCCCCAAAAAACCACAAAGGACTCTTTATTTTTAATCAGTTGACACTTTTAATTTGTAGGCCAGGTTTCTGCAAGCAGAGCAGGAGCCTTGTGAGCTGTCTGGGGAGGCAGGGCAGCTGTCGGGCTGCCGCCGCTCCGGGCACACGGCTGCTCCAAAGCTGCTCTTATTTTAGTTTATTTTAGTCACCCTAACAGCAAGCACAACAGTTACATGATCCAGAGCTCTTAGGGGACTGTAGGCAGAGGCAGGCCCTGTTATTTCCTGAAGCCTTGGCATTAGCTTTATTACTATATTAGTATATTTAAGCCCCGTTGTGTACAGGCTGTGTAAACAAGGGGAGGTGGAGCCCTCAAGAGCTCAGAGCCCATTTAAAGGGGATGTAGAAGGGCTCTGCTCTTACCATCCCTGGAGTCTTTGAAAAGTAGATGAAAACATCTTATCTTTGCCATAGATAACTTCAAGAGGGTTTTTTTTCTCCTTTCAAAAGTCTTTTTTTAAACTTCTAAAAGCTAAATAGCAACCTGGGTAGCTCAACTTCATGTTGGTCCCATGAGGCCTGGAAAGAGGAGCTATGTTAAACTTCTTGTAGAAAGGCAGGATAGTAATTTTTGAATTTTATGAGACTTAGTGTCATGCTGTGTTCTGTTTTTTGGACCCAGCCCTGAAGAGAGAAAATAAAATTGTCACCAGCTTGGCTTAAGGGAAAACAAAGCAAAACACACACAGAAACACCCAACACAAAAAAATTAATCAAAACAGATTCCATGTTCTCAGTTTGCCTTTTTCCATTACAGAGCTCTGAGAAATGCTTTTGAAGGAATGTGCAGCTCACCAGAATTACACTTCCAGCTCCAGGGGTTTCACGCTGGGTTGTAAACACCAAAAGTCTGTGACATCTCTGACATCCTCGTGTCAGCAAGGGCAGAGAAAGAAAAACAGCCAACAGAGAACCTCTTAGAAATGCCTGTGGGTCCTAACACTGAAGTTGAGGATGGCCTAAATACGAAGGGAGATGGGATAATAGGGGAGGTGATGTGTGGAAGTGCCTGGCTGCTCCTGGCCAGGTGCCCCTCGGTCTCTGGGTGAGGTGTGAGTGCAGGGCAGGTGTCTCAGCTGGGTGTGGAGATGGCTCTGACCTCTGCCCTGCCAGGCACGGACTGGAGAATTCCAGCTCAGGTGTTTCTGGAGGTGGCTGAGGTTGTGGTGCCAGGCTGTGTTTTAGGAATGGGTCCATCATGCCTGTTCCAGCTGCTCCAAGGGGACATCCCTGGGGCTTGAGCCGCAGCAAAGCCTGTTCTCCTGGCACAGGCTGTGCCAGGCTCTGTGCACAGGCTGCAGGGTGGGGGGACAGTCCTGGGTTGTAACTGTGCTTCATTCTGTGCAGGTGTGGGATCATCCCGGAGTCCCACAGAGGGAGCTAAAGCCCGGGAAACGCCGCTGGAGAGGCTGAGCAGATGGAAAAGGTCCCACTCCTCCTTGCCCTCACATACCAAAGGCTTTGGTCTTCAACTTTGCTTAGGATCCTCTGGAAGAGACTGTTTGACTGTGCTCCAGTTTCCTGGTGTCCTTCCCTTCTTCCCCTCACCCTCCGCTATAAATCTTAGAAATCGGTTTGGGGTTTTGCTTTGAGGCAAACGTGTGGTGAGTTCTGAGGTGAGCAAATATCACAGGGACAGGAAAACTTCAGTAGCTGCTGAATAGGACTGTGCTGGGCATGGATTTCAGTCCTAGTGTGTGAATCTTCCCGGGAGCTCCAGGCTGGCTCCTGTTCTTCACTTGAACACAGATAACAATGTGCAAACAAACGTCTTTGTTTGGTGGTGGTGGATGGTTCCTCTGGATGGTTCATTCCTCCTCCTGGATGGTTGAGGGCCTTCATCATCAGGGATGGTGGTGGCAGCACAGGAGTTGCCTCCTGAGGAAATCTGAACTCTGCAGAGTGCCCTGGTGCTCAGGGATGTTCCCCAGAGCCTCCAGCAAGGACAGCCCTCCCAGCAGTGCCTGGCCAGTGCTCTGAGCTCCAGAGGTCCCCTGCTGAAGGCTGCAGTGTGTTCTTGCTTTGGGAGTGTGGCATCAGACCTGGGGAGGGGATGGGGGTTTTGTTTGCTATTTGGGGATAATGTTTTACCTTATTTACAGCTCCTCGTTTGCCTGGTGTTAAAATATTTCTCCAACTCGTACAAAATAAAGTTTTGTTTCTTTACCAGGATGCTGCCCAGCATTGCCTTTGTGCAGAGAAAATAGGGTCTCATTTGCTTCTTAATTCCAGAGCCCCAATGTCTGCTGCTGTTCCCTGCAGAGTGTCCAGCACCCCTTTCCTATTCCAGGGGATCAAACTGCCATATTTACCTCTTGCTTACTTGACTGGAAGCCTTTTATGCAGCTAATAAAGCAGTATCTGCATATGACTCATTTCCAGGCAAATAATGTATTTCTTAAATCATTGCTTGGCCTTGAGGCCCCGGTTGTAGCTCAGTGCCCCAGGTCATGCCCAGGACTGCAGATGATACTGAGCCTTGACTGAACATGCAATTCCTTCCCAAAATGCAGGTGGAAAGGCTGCTGATGTCACTCTCTTGGTGTGGGATGTCTCCTAAGGAGCCTCCTCAGGGCAGGCATTGCAGTGAGCACACTCTGCAGCACAGCTGGCTGCCAGCTCCTAATCCAACTAGGACTTTTCTAGAGCTCACCACTAAAGTCCTCCAGCAGATTTCATGTCCTGAAAACTAAGCTTCCCCTCTTAATTTGCTTTTTTTTCTCCCCTAATGATATCAGGGTTTCATAGGATCCAGCTTTTAGCACAGACAATTGGGCTGAGGGTAAATAAATCCCTGCATGAGTGCTGGGGAACTCTTGCCACGTGGTGGGCAAGGGCAGAGGAGAGAACATCCAGAGCAGAGGTCGTGTCTTCAGACAAACACTCTCTGGGGTGAAGGGCAGCTGTAAGGAGCACAACGTGTGCAGAAGCTGAAATGGAAAGTGTGATTGTAAAATGCTTGTAAAATCGGCTCTTTGCTTCTTCCTGGCTCTGTCCTGTGCCCAAGTCCAACAGGATCTCAAGTGCTGAAGGTGTTTCAACCCTGCAGTTGCTTTGAAAGTCCATCCATCACCCTGTCTCCCTTCATCAATCTCTTCCAAGGTCATCCCAGTGCCAATTACCACCTTAGGGGTGTTGTCAGACTCCTGCTGTGTTTGGTAAATCTTCAAACTGTTTCTGCTGCCCTGAGCAAATATTTACTCTGAGGGAGGACTTCTGATGGCAAACCTACATGTTGTCTTGGATTTCTGTATGTGTCAAGATTATTTCTTCAGGAAAGGAATTTAAAGACCACGATAGAGAATTCTCCTCCCTTACAATTACATCAGAGCAGTTGTCATTCTGCCAAGAGCTCCCAGCAAAATTAGGCTGTCTTTAAAGAACAGTAATTCCATGAAGGAAAATTGTCCTTTTTCTGCAGTTTTCCCACCCCTGGGGCAGAATTTTCCTTCTTGGCTAAAGATCTGTGAGGGGTGAGAACACCACCAGTTGCTCAGTGAGCTGTGACCTCAGCAGCTGTGGCACAGGAGGGTTCTTAAGGTGATCCACCATCAGGTATCTCGGAGAGCTGCGTCCTTATCGTTATTCACTTATAACAAAAGCAATAAAAGAGAAATTCCGAGAAGTGTGGGGTCTAAGTTCCACTACTCTAAAAGTGGCAGGGCTCTGTCCCTTCTACCTGGAGGAAGGGAGGCTGCAGCAGTTAAAGAAACACATACAGGACACGTGGAAAAAGAGCTGGTGATCAAGCCAGCCAGTTAAAGAACACATGCAGGACACGTGGAAAAGAGCTGTTGCTCAAGAGGACGTGTTTTTTTTTGGTGACTGTTAAAGATAGATGGACTAATAAAGAGGAGGCTGGTTTTCCTCCAGCTGCTGGAGATATCTGTGAACTTTGCATTTCTCTGCTAAACTCTATAAATTGTGGTCGACTATTAACCGAGTGCTGGACTGTTCAGAGCAGTCCCGTAAGGCAGGAGGCTCATACCAAACCAGCAGCACGTGGTGCCACCTTTTGCATGCAGAGGGAAAGGAACGTAAAGTGCTGGTGGAAAAAATCTTGTGTGCTGTGGAAACCACAGCTCTGAGAGGATGAACCTGCCCCCTGTGAACTGCAGAAGTGCCTGAGCAAGGTAGGACAAGGGGCCAAGGACAGGTGCGATTTGTGGCTGCAGGGGGGGTTAATGTGGTTCACTTGTATTGCTGTGCCAGATGGCAAACAACCCTCTCTGTTGCCGGGGCTGCTCCCGCAGAATGACCTGTTTTTCCCGGAATTCCACAGTTGCTGGGCAGCGTCTCCAGCTGCGCCATCCACAGCTGTCCATGGGCTGCAGGGGGGAAGGAGCAGCAGCTCTGTGTGCTATAGATTCACCTCGTCCCTGTCTATGAACCAGCTCATTTAGCAACTTTTGCAATAAATCTGCCCCTTCCCGCTGGAGATGAGCCTGTTTCCCCTGTAACTGGCAGCACCTCTGTTTGAAACAGGATCTGGTGACACAAATCTGCCCCCGCGGCGACAGGCTTGAGCAAGGAAAAGAAACGTTCAGGAAGGGAATGATCAGGCAACAAGGACTGACTTACTCCAGCTGGTAGAGCCTGTCGTTGATCGGATGTGTTTGGAAGAGTCACAGAGGGGGATTTTCTGCGTGGGGCGTTTCCATCCCCTGCCTTGGCTGTTCCATCCGTAAAAACCTGCACTCCAAAAACTGCATCTGGGATTCAAACACCAAAAATGAAGCTGAAAGGAGGGGAGCGGGAGAGGTCAGACAGAAGCGAAGGTGCAAAGGGGGTGAGTATGTTGACTCCCTTCTTCTAGCTTGAGCCTCCCAGGGACACAGAACGAGCTCTTGGAAATCTCTGGATGCCTGTAGGGAAAGGAGAAGGGCTGGCATGTCCACAGGAAGGGCAGAGACAAGTATTTCTTGAGCGCTGTTTATGTCTGTCTGCAGTGCAGGGTTGCACTGAGTGCTGTGATTTTCTCTCTGTCTGCAGCTCACCCACCCTGTAACTTCTGTGTTACGTTCCCCTTCTGTGTGTGAGTTTTCTTTCCTATTGTCTAATCAGTTTTAGGCTACAGTGTTAGTTTTCTGGGTGGGGCTGCCTTTTACAGCAGCGTTCGTGGAGTCTTGCACAACACAGCGCTCGTGTGTGCCAGAGGTTTTCCTAAAATGACTTTATTGCTGTGGCAGCAATGAGATACATTAGCGAGCTATAAAAACCAACCCGACAAAAACCCAACAACCCAGCTCTGTCAACACAGCCCGGGGCTGAACAGCAACTAAATTGTTGTGAAAGGCAAGTTTGTAACTCTGTTTGTGTACCCACAAACATGGTGTTAGATCCAGATGGCAATTCCACTCGCCTGCTTAACTGCAAAGTGCAGCTCCTGTACCCCACAACCAAGCCCTCGCTGAGCTACTTGGATAAGTTCTAATTGGCTTCAGTGACAATTAATTAGATCCGTGAAAAGCTTGGTCCCAAAATGTGGGAGGCAGAAAAAATTAACAGGAAAGGGATTTTGCCACCTGATGCAAAATCACTTCTTTTTAAAGCTTTCCTGCGCCAATATCCTGTGTTATTTCCTTACCCAATTTGCACGTGGGAAAAAGAATAATTGCTTACAACCTTTTTTCCCTGTGGGGTGGTATTTTAAGGATGATAGCTTCAAAAAAAAATTTAATCATCCAAATGATTCATCAATACCAGCAAAGCACTGAGTGAATTACTGTAATGACTGTGTGCAAATCAAGCAGAACAAAATGAGTCATAATGAAAACAACCCATTGGGCTTTCATATGCAGTAAAATTAAGGGGAAAAACACAGAAAACCAAGGCTTAACGTAATTCTTTATTTTTACTGAGTGTCGTTAATGCCTAAGAACCAGACCTGCTTCTAAGGCGGTGCTTGTTTGTTTTCTTTCCCCTCTACAGAAAATGACAATTTCCCTTGCCCTGGTGGCTCTGATATCTGCCTTTGGATCTTCTTTCCAGTACGGCTACAACGTGTCTGTGATCAACTCTCCAGCCCCGGTAGGTCCGGCTGTGGAGTGGCCCATGATTTAGGAGTGGGTTTACAAACACTTAGGAGCAGGTTTACAAACACAACAAGTGAAACAGTTCGTTATAGATGTTTGTGGGCAGGTGCTTGTGCTCTCCTGGTGCTCAGGACAGATGGACTGTGAGAAATGCCTCCCCCTCTGGGAACCAGGCACATCCTGTGAGTCAGGATAACTTGTAGCAGCAGTTATCTAGTCCAGGCTTCTCTATCCCTCTCTTGGATTTGTTTTCCCACTCACCCACTCTGTTTTTTTATCAAGACATTCGTTTAAAGCTTTATGGCATTTGTTGTTTGGCTTTTACAGCATGAAAACTGTCCTTGCTCTGCTAAACGTGCTCTGTGTTTCATTCCAGTACATGCAAGACTTTTACAACCAAACCTACTTGGACAGGACTGGGACGCCCATAACCAGTGCCTTCCAGACACTGCTCTGGTCTCTTACTGTGTCCATGTTCCCTCTGGGTGGCTTTTTTGGGTCCCTGCTGGTGTATCCTATGGTCAACAATTTTGGCAGGTACGTGCGAGCCGTGTCTGAGATCCCTCAGCCCAGGGCTCAGATAAGACTTGTCTCACTGGTCACTCCAGCTTGGAGGATGAATTTCCCACACACACCTTGGCAATAAAGCACGTGGGATGAGGGTGAGTTGCTGGGCTCGTGTTGTCAGGAATTTATATGGTTTCAGAGTGGCCAAGGCCAGGCTGTGTGCTGGGCACTGAGCCAGCCAGAGAGCACTGGTGAAAAGTGCTGGGCTGAGATCAGGCCCAGCTCCTGCTGCTCAGGGTTCCTGAGAAGCCTTCATTCCCTGCAGGAAAAATGGGACAATTGGCACTTTCTCTTTGATCAGTCTTTGGGATGATGAGTCATTGGGGTTTGGGACAGCATTGCACCCAGGGCCTTAGCAAAACCAAACTGAATGTTTCCTTTTCTGTTTATTACTTTGCAGAAAGGGCACTTTGCTGATAAATAACCTCTTCTCCATCTCTTCTGCAATCCTCATGGGAACCTCAGAGCTAGCAAAAACCTTTGAAGCAATCATCATTTCCCGTTTTATCATGGGAATCTATGCTGGTAAGTGGATAGTAAAGGGAGAGCCATAAATATTTTGTTTTATTCTCTCATCAGATGCTCTCACATTTTAGCATCTGCATAACAATGCTGTGCTTTAGCACTGGTCATCTGCATGTTGCAGAAATACTAAAGATCTCTTGGAGATAAGGGCCCTGAGACTAGAATTTAAGATATATAAAGGAGTTGTGTGCCTGTAGGTGAACCTCTCCTCTGCAATAAACATCTTCTAGGCACTGCAGCTCCCACAGCCAGGAAACCTGCTGCTGATAATCTCTTTCCCCAGAGGACTTAAAGCAGGTAGTCCATTTTTTTTCCTTTTTAACATAATCAGAATAATCCATTAAAGTCGTTGCAGTCAGTGCCAGATCCAATAATCCAGTCCTGGAACTGATTGTTCTTCCTGCAGCAGGAAAGAACTGTTAAAAGGGAGAAAAAAGAGCTCAGAGACACTTGGTTTACTGCAAAGGCAGTGGGAAGCCAAGGATATAAGTGTACTGCTGGTGTGAGTGGCTTTTTTAGAGCTGCAGAAACAGGGAACAAACAGAACCCTGGAATTCTGGGTACCCCGTGCAGTGCTGGGCACAGCCAGGTCTGTGAGGGTCCTAAGAGCATTTAGGCTCAATTAATTGGCTTTGGGCTGACGAGGCTCACGTGCTCCAGGGTTTATTAGTGAGTTGGGATATCCTGCAAGGACAAATTTCCTGCCTTAGCTCAGCGACTGTAATTGCTGCACATTACAGATCAAGTTGCTTTCCTCGGGGCAGTTTCTTGTTTTCCAGTTTTATCTACTCCAGTGGTTTTATTTTGGCTTTTGACTCGCCCAAACCTGGCAGCTGCTCTTAGCACTGGAGCTCGGAATAAACGCTGAGGGACCTGTTCAGTGTGATCCCTCTTTCCAGTTATTTATAACCAACAAAGGAATCTGGACTGGCTGTCCTGATTTGTCCTTTGCAGCTTGACCCTGGTAGAACTGTGGGTGTTTTTCCTGAGGAGGGAAGCTGCTGAGCCCAGCCAGGCTGCCTTGGGATCTGGGAGGATCCACGTGTGACTCTCCAGGAGGATCCAAATGTCACCCTCCAGCACCGGTGACACTTGTTTCCATGCCTTTTAGCTTTCAGATATCAGCTTGATCACCTCTGTAACCCCAAGCTCCTGAAGCCCAGGACCTGTAGAAATGTCAGATAAGAGCCTCATGTGGTCATTTGACTCCAGGAGTTTGGGGTTTGCGTGCCAGGATTTACAGCGTAAGCAGGAGCTGGCAGCTCGCTGGGGTTACTGTGGGTAGGCATGTCATGTTCCTCGAAATAACCCATGCCCTTGGTGTCCTGATTGGATTAGAAATCCCTGTTCCAGCATTCCACCTGCAAGACATCTCAGACCAGCAAAGCTCTCTGCAGAGCGTTACTGAGCAGCGAGTTTTTAAGAGCCAACACGAAGTCATTTCCTTCCACCCTCACACCAGCTTGACTGGATACTGATTTCTTGTTTCAGAGGAAGTAAAAGTTCCTCCCTTACACAGTTTTCCTTTGAGTGTCTTGTGCTGAAGTAGCTGCTGGGAGAAAGCTGCTTTTAGGAAGGTGAACACAGAGCCCTCAAATCATCTGCTGGCTCTGTGGGCAAGACAGGCTCCTGCTCACCCTGTGACTCCTAAAATGCTTTGCAGCAGAGCAGTTAATAATCTCGACACTCAGAGGACCAGCAGATGGGCAGGTTGCACTCCAGGGCCAGAGCTTCTGAGGGCAGCAGCTGCAGGGATGGATGTTGTACTTCACGTCCTGAGTGACCCAGTGCCACGTGTTTTTTGTCCCCTCTTCCACTGAGAGTGAGGAAAACACACACAGCCCATTCACTGGCCAGAAGGTGACATCAAATCTTCACCTGGAGCAGAAGGGTTTGAGTGTGAAGTTCCTGCGTGTGCTGTGGATCATCACGAATCTCTTTTGTCCCCCATGGGAAAACAGCATCTCGCTGGAGATTGTGAGTGTGCTCACACCAGGCATGGCTAACGCTGTTCTCTCGCTACCAGGTCTGGCTTCCAATGTGGTTCCCATGTTCCTTGGAGAAATGTCCCCCAGAAATCTCAGAGGTGCTATTGGGATAGTCCCACAGCTCTTCATCACTGTCGGGATCCTTGTAGCTCAGATCCTTGGTCTCACCAGCATCCTGGGGAATGTTGAAGGTAAAGCTCTGGCTGGGGACTTTGCTGTGGGCTCTGTAGGGGGAGGATTTCTCACCCTTGTTGTCCTGTCTCCCTGGTTGCAGGCTGGCCTGTGCTGCTGGGGCTCACGGGGATCCCATCACTGATCCAGCTCCTTACACTGCCCTTTTTCCCTGAGAGTCCCAGGTACCTGCTGCTCCAAAAGGGCAACGAAGAGCAGGCACGAAAAGGTACAGTGTCATCCTTTAATGGAAGGGGAGATGGAATGGGATGGGTCTGACTGTGGGACACCACTGATGGCAAAGCGTGGAATTCCTCGCTGGTGGTGAAGGTGGAATTCTTGCAGCACTGCTCCTTTTTCTGCATATGTGAATCCCCAGCTTCCCACCACGGAGGCACCGCTGCCCAGCGTTACAGGTTGTTCTGTCTTGATTTGAAGCAGGAGAGCTCACTGTAAAACTCACTTTCCTCTCCCAACTAGCCCTGCAGAGGCTGAGAGGCTGCGATGACGTGGACGACGAGATAGAAGAAATGTTCCAAGAGGGCCAGTCAGAAAAGGAAGAAGGGCAGTTCACTGTGCTCAGCCTGTGCACCTTCAGAGGCCTGAGGTGGCAGCTCATCTCCATCATCGTCATGATGATGGGCCAGCAGCTCTCCGGGGTTAATGGGGTGAGTGGGAAGTGGGAAAGGCGGTGGGGTGGAAAGGAAGGGATGGATGAGGTTGGTGATGCAGGGCAGTGCTGACACAGGAGATAAAACCCAGGACACAGGAGGAGCCCTTCATCCAGGACACTGGTTCATATTGTGGTGAGTTGACCCTGGCCAGTACCAAATCCAGCACAGACAGGTGCAGAGTCAGGCTCATACACAGATGCAGGACCAAGCTGTCCTGTTAAGGATAATTTGGATGTTTTTAGAGTGCTTGGGCCCGGATCCAAACAACAACGTCTTCAGAAATAAAATAATTCAGTCCTCAGGCTTCGGTGCACCAGTGACAGGATGTAAAGCAGCCAAAATGGGATTCCCACGTTCTGCCCTTGGCCACATACAAACACAGCTGTGGTTTTGCTGCAGGTCTTCTACTACGCAGACAGAATCTTTGAGTCAGCAGGTGTGCACAGCAGCAGCATCCAGTATGTCACTGTGTCCATAGGGGCCATCAACGTTGTCATGACTTCGCTTGCTGTGAGTTTCTTTGGGGGCTCTCTGAGCTCTGACTTGTCCAGTCTCCCCTGTCTGTTTCTGTTCAATTTATATTCATCAAACCAGAGAATCCCAGAACGATTTGGGTTGGAAGGGACCTAAAAGATCATCTCGTTCCAACCCTCTGCCATGGGCAGGGAAACCTCTCACTAGAATGTTACTCACCCATGGGGTGAGGTGCTTTGCACAGTGGGTGTCCTGTGGTGTCCCTTGGGTGAAGGCACTTGGAATAAGAGACCCCAGGTGTTGGGTCTCTCACCCTCTCCTGTCTCTTTCAGGTTTTCATTGTGGAATCCCTGGGGAGGAGGATCCTTCTCCTCGCTGGCTTTTTTTTGTGCTGTGCTTCCTGTGCGGTGTTAACCTTGGCCCTCAACCTTCAGGTCTGTACAAATGGCTCAGGTGATCCTACCCAAGCATTTCTGGACTTCCCAGGGAGCAGGCCAGGGTTATATTTTGAAGTACATCTTGAAAAGCTGTGATCCTGCTTGTCTGAATACTACTTCCAGTATGTCACGTTCCTAACACCCATTGCACCAATTTGTTGGCAGCAAGGATCATACCCAGGCTGTGATTTTGTGGCTAATTATGGACATATCTGGCATTGGAGGGTGACACTGGCTTTAGAACGCCTTCAAATCTTATTACAAATAGCGCCTTGAATGTGTTGGTGGTGTTCAGATAGGAACCACATCTAACCTGTGATCCAATCCTTCACAGACCACGGTGTCCTGGATGTCCTACCTCAGCATAGCCTGTGTCATCCTTTACATCATTGGGCATGCCATAGGACCCAGTAAGTATGCACAGCCTGGCCAGTCTGCTCCACAAGCTGGCTAAAGCCAAGTGTTATGTTCCATTTCAACCCAAAACCCTTGTGGAGCTCATCCATGGACACTGGGTTTCATCTCTGTGTGGCCACGCACCACGCAAGTCATTTAATTGCCCTGGTTTTTTGTTTGTTTGTTTACTTGTTTGGGTTTTTTTAATTTAATCCTTATTTAATTTATTGGGTGCTCCTAAACTCTTAGGAGTAAGAAACCATTGCCTGCCACTGAAATGGCTGGAACATTTTTTTTGAACGTTTCGACCGTTCGGACGAATGGTTGAAACGAAGGAAACAAACCAGTGTGATCAAGAATTCAGAGTGGAGGAACTGCCCTTGGGATTTCCAAATATCCAACTGCCTTCCAGGTCCGGTTCCCTCTGTCATGATCACCGAGATGTTCCTGCAGTCGTCCCGGCCTGCAGCCTTCATGGTGGGAGGGTCTGTGCACTGGCTGAGCAACTTCACCGTGGGGCTCTTGTTCCTCTACATGGAGGTGAGATACAGCCCCACAACAGGGCAAAACTTCAGCTTAAGATTAATCCCTTCACCCCTGTTTAATCCCAAAAGCTGTAAATGCCCCTGTTGGTTCCCAGTACCTGTATGTGGGATTATATGTTAAGGGCATGATGTTAATCACCATTTTCTTACCACACCTGTCTGCTGCACAGGCTTTAAAAGACAGCAGTTACTTTGCCAGGTGAATGTCTCATCCTGAACTCAGGAGCATGGAAAAGATGGCAAATTCCCCATCTTTCCCTGTGTGTCTCAGGGAACCAATTTTAATTGGGTCCCCCAGTTCAAACTGATCCCCAGCTGTGACCCACAAACTGCAGCAGGTGCCGACTTTAGCCTGTGCAAAGGGAGCTGGTGAGTTCACTTTGATTTAGTTTGATTTAGCTTGATTCACCCTCCTTTGCCACTAAATTCGTGGTGTTTCCAATAAACCTATGGTGGTGGTGTGAGAAGACAGAATCTAGAACCACTCCAACTTCTAGTTGTTCAGCTTTAAAATATGTGCACACCACTGTGGCTGCATTTTTTATAGCCAGTGCAGGGTGCACCATGTCCAAGCCTGGAATGTTTTCCTGATCCCTGCTCTCTCCTGTCCTTGCCCTAGGCTGGGCTGGGGCCCTACAGCTTCCTCATCTTCTGTGCCATCTGCCTGGCCACTGCACTTTACATCTTCTTCATCGTTCCCGAGACTAAGAACAAAACCTTCATGGAAATCAACAGGATCATGGCCAAGAGGAACAAAGTGGAGATTCAGGAAAACAAGGAAGAGCTGAAGGATTACTGCGCTGTCCCAACTGGGCTGCCAGAGAGGACGATGAGCTTTAGCAGTCAGCTGTGACACAGCCCAGTGTCTGGCCTGGCAGGGACATCCCTCAGGATCTGTTCAGTGGGAAAACAAATGCATTGATTCATCATTTGATACTGCTCTGAGAATCACAGAATCCTTAAGGCTGGAGAAGACCTTTACCATCGAGTCCAAATGCAAACCTGACGCTGCCAGTTCCACCTCCTGTCACCAGGAAAGGACAATGTCCTCAGCCAGCTCAGTTCCTGTGACCAAGTGACCAATGTCCCTGATCTCCTGCTGACACACCTTGGGAGACACAAGCCAGCCCTTGTCTTGTCACAAGCCAGCACCACACTCCTCTGAGGAACTGTCACTTGTGTATTTGAGGGTCTAGGATGGGGAAACTAAATTTAATTTGTTATCTGAGGGTGCTGCCCTCTGTGTTGAAAAAAAGCAGAATTGTTGAACAGCCTGGCATGGATTTGGTGGTGTTGATGGAGAGTCCTTCACATGGTTTACTTTAACCTTACAAAATTACTTTTATACCTGCCCTCAGATTTGTGATGTATGTGTTGAAAAAGAAACTGTTTTCATGTTCTGTCTCTACATCCCTTACAGAAAAGAAGGCAAAGGGCTGTCCCTGGCCAGGGCACAAGCATTGCACAGGAGCTGCTTTACATCCCCTTTCCTATGTGATATGTCTGCAGGGGAAGGGTGGTGAGTGGACAATGATAAACAGAAGGAAACACATGTGCAGGGAGGATGGTGAGAAAGCAACACTGGGTGAAGGATGGGACAGAAATTTTATTTGAGAAAGTGGCTCCTGTGACCAAGGAGAGCGGGTCTTTGGCACGAAGGATCTAGGTAGGGGGATCTAAAATTCCTGTGAGGGGTGTGACAGCCCAAGGTGCTGGACTGTGCCTCAAGTTCTGCTGTTCTTTGCCTCTACCCCACTGATGGAGGCTTTGCTCTCTTGGACAGACACCCTGGAGCAGCAGCAGGGGCACGGTGAGCCCATACACAGCAGAAGGAGAAACAAGCCAATAATCTCAATTCCTCTCAGTTCCCCCAGCAAGCAGTTCAGATTCTCCTGATGCCTTAATTAAAAAACCAGCAGCTGGGATCACTGGCAGCTGGTGTCAGCCTCCAGAACCACCCCCCCGAGGAGGGCCATGGGGGTTTGTCCCCAGGCTATGACGTCCCCCCTCGGCCGCCCCGGTTTGCACAGCGCGAGCGCCCGAACGTCCGCAGGGCTGAGAACGTGGCTCCACAGGTTCACCTGAGCCAGCCACCCTGCAAAACCATTGGAGAACGTCCCAAGGAGAGTGTCTCTGTCTTTTCCAAGGACAAGCATCCCTCCAGCCTGGCTCACATACCCCTTCTGGATGCTCACTGCTTTGCCGGCCGCTCCGTTGAGCCACACGTTTGCCATTCCCGGCTGGGAGGCCCAGGCCAGGCAGTAGTGCAGCCAGTCCTGTGCCCTGTGGTGCAGGGGGAAGCTGATGGAATGGCCTCCTACCCACAGCCCCACCTCTGTGCCCACGGTCACCACCAGCTCGTTGTCCCTCTCCCGTGTGGAGTAGGACAGGATGGTCTGGCTCCCGGAGTGTTGAGATCTGGCCCAGAAACACAAGGTGAAGGCTTGGAGAGACATGTCACGCAGGGGATGGACATCCACAAAGCTCTCAATGTTTTCCACAGGGAAGTAGAAAGCTGGAAAAGTGCTGGGTTTAATACCTGAAAGAACCAAGAAGGCACCGGTTACGTTTCCTGCCGTGCCTGTAAATAAGCCCAAATCCTGAAGAATTGCACCCATAGTCTGAGCTGTCTTGAGCCACAGTTACTGGTGTGTGTTGTGCCAACAGGGAAGAGGCTTGAAACAATGAAAAATTGAGCTCCCTCACACAACTGTTTGGGAAAATTGCTTTTTTCCCCTCCTTCTTTCTCTTTTTCTCATACTGCATAAAATAGAGGTGACAATTATTTATCCTGGGGGAACTGTGAGCTTAAATGTTTCACTGCTTGTAAAAATGTGCTCACATGTTGCAGGAGAAAGCTGCAGTTGCTGTGGGAGTATCTACATTAGGGCTGGCCACAGCAATGCTTTAACTGAAGAATTTCCATCAGCAGGCCTAGACATGGGACAAAATTCTGCCTGCACGTGTCAGTACCAAACTTGTCAATGATTTAGGCCATCAAGGGCAGCAGGGCATGGGCTCTTCACCCTCCCAAGGTAAGCTGGACCCCACAGCTGTGTGTTTCTTACCTGCCTGGCTCCCTCCATTCAGCAGCTCTGTCTTCATGTCTTGGAGTTGCGTCTGGATTTGATCCAGTCTGAGGGTGAGTTCTTCAGGATGGCATTGTGCTAGAGCAATCAGGCAGGTGAATTTACAGAAGGCCAGGACATCTACACTACATCTTCTGCTAGATCTTCTACACTAGATCTTCTAGTTTGGTGAAAACCTTTGCTTTAAAACGCAGCATCTCTCCTCCGTGTGGTGCCCGGCCGCTCACACACCTCACCCACCCGGGCACAGACACACCCGAGCTGAGGACTCTCCTGGGGTGCCACGTAGCACCAGTTACCCTGGAGATGTGTGTGACAGTCAAAAAACTACCCCAAACTGTCCAAATACAGGCTGGCACACACCCTGCAGCCACCACTGCACCTTTAGAAGCAAAGTGTGTTGGCAGGGAAAGAGGAGACGTGTGGGGCATCACCCGCGCAGGGATGCTGCTGCTCCTGGGAGAGCTGATGATCTCCAGCACACCTAAACTCGCAGCTCAACACCTTCCACGCAGCTTTCTCGCCCCTCCCCAGGTAAGCCCAAGTCCTGCCTGCTGAGCCCTTACCTTGGGGGGGTCTGGCTCTGAAGGAGGACTCCACCACCCTGCCGTGGAGGGGCTGGGCATGGCGGTAGTCGTTGCGCAGGGTCCTGTTCTCCCAGTCCAGCAGGGTGTTCTCCAGGAGGCTGATCTGCCAGGAGTACAGGGCATCTTTAGAAGGGCAGTGGGAACAACTGTTGTGCCTAAAAAGCGCAGGGAAAACCCTGCAGCTCGGGATTAAACCCAACAGCTTGTTCCAGAGGCATCCTCAGGGGTCTCTCGCTGGGCGTTAGCAAGGGAAGGGAACAGAACACGAGGGCTCTTATCAGCTAATTCCTGATAAAGGTATTTTGCCTGAGGGAAGTTCTGAACACCTGATGGTAATGCATGCATGGAGATTTTGCTGCTGTGCTGTAGCTTTCTCACGAGTGCCTTCCAGCCTTCCCCCTGCCAGAAAGAGTATTTCTTTTCCAAAGGGAACACAGTGATCCTCCACTGCTGTAGTCCCAGTTTTATCTTGCTCTTCTCCTAGAAGGAAATGTTTCTGATGCTCCTTTATTAGCTTAAAAGTATTACTATCAATGTAAGTCTAGGCAGGGAAAAACCCTGAAATACTGTATAAAAATGTGCCAACTGTTCTGTAATTATTTTTATGTTATGAATGGCTCTTTTATGGTAGTTTTGGATTTTTTTGGGGGGAGTCTCTTACAGTAGTTTTTGCCTTGTTGATTCTGGCTGGTCTTTTCCTTTTTATAGTGCTTCAGGGTGAGCTTAACAGAGCAGAGAGCTTTGTTATCAGTCAGCAGACCTCGGGTAACCTGCTGCTCTACAGCACCTGACCCTTGCTGTGATGTGGCATCACAGTGTCATCACAGCCACCTGTAATTCCAGTTGCTTAGGAATCTATCCCTAAAGCTCCGTATGAGAGATGCCACGTTATCTCATCTGTCAGGCTGCTCCCAAAATCACTGGAGGGCAGAAAAGGAAAGGTGAAGCACGGAGGAAAGAGCAGCTGGTGACAGCTACCCCTTACCTGTGTGTGTGACAAGACAATTGGAGAGTGGAAGATGGTCCAGATCACACTCTCAGAGCAGGGTGGGGTTGTCAGGGAGCCCTGGTACCTGTAGAAGTGTGAGAGGTTTTCTGGCAGCATGGCTTGGACATCCAGAGAACTCAGCTTTGTGGATTGACCTCAAAAGGGAGCAGAGAGGCAACATCAGCAATTAATGGGGAGTGAGGAGAGAGGTGGAAGCTCTGTCAGAGCCGGGGTTGGCAAATCCCTGTGCCCAGAGCACTGGTTTATCAGGCCTTTGGCAGAATGGATGGAGATGGAGAGAAATGAGTGGCCCTTCCAGGGGGTCTGTGGGTTGTCATTTGGAGGTACCTGGGGGTGGGGGGCACCTGCACCCCAGTGCTCTGCCAGTACCTGTTGGTCCTCCCAGGAGGCAGAGAGTCTTAGTGGGTGTACAGACAGCGGGGAGCTGGTGTTTGGTGCTGCAGACCTACCAGGAGTCTATTTATTGCTGCCTTGAGCACCTTCCCCCCCACCCTGCTGCTGTTGGAGCCACGTGGGCAGGGATGGTGTGGAGCTGGGCAGGGCTGAGGATGCTCAGCAAAGCAGCAGGAAGAGGTCTGTCCCCAGACCCAGTACCTACATACAGGCTTTGGGAATATCGGGGTGGAGAAAGGCATTCCCAGGTCTTACCTGCAAACCTGATTCTTGCCAGTTTGGAGATGAATTCACTGTAGTAGGTGTTCTCAAAGTGCCCATCCTAAACACAGCACAGAAACCTTGATCAAAAGCTTTGTGACCTGCCTGTCCTTCTGCTCTGCTAATCAGCTGGGGGGACTAATTGATGAACTGGGGGATAAAGAGAACAGATGCTATCACAGATCTGATGGGCTGGACAATGACCAGGTGTGTACACAGAGATCTCAGGTAGAACAGGGAACTGTAAGGGTCCTTTTTCACCACTTTTAAATCCACACAAAGTCAAGTGTTCCCACTTGCAAAGCAGAGCAAGGCCTTGATGCACAGCAGCTGCCACACCTGATATTCCACCTGCACTGCTTATGGGGCAAACTTTCCCGGGGCTCCCAAAATGTATGGGCTGTAGTTGTGTGAACCCCAGAAATGGTCCCAGGAATAACAGTCCTGCTGCAGCACAGCTCCCTAAACTGGTGGCAGACACTATCTCTTAGGACAGAAGTACAAACCCAGCACAGGCTGCTTGTGTCTGGACTGAGATTTTAGCACAGGCGCTGATCCCTGGGCATTAAACCTACCTCGTAGAGGAAGGCCAGCACAGCCAGCCCGTTGGGTTTGTCCTTGGCTTCTTCAAAGCTTGAGTATTCAGCAGAGTTGTAATGGACAATGTGCAGCTGCCAGGAGAGAGACAAGGTCATTCAGCAACAAGTGCTGAGTGGCTTCCTGGGTGCTGCCCAGGGCAGACTGCAGGGAGAGCCACCCTCCCAATTCCTGCTGCTCGTGCCTCACAGCACGGCCAAGGAGACCTTTGGTTTAACAGGTTTGTGATGAATGTGGGGGAAAATCTCCATGTTAGAAGGACACCAGTGCTCTTGCAATGGCTTTTCTCACTGTGCCAGCACTGTCGGGCTCAGCCCTTGCACTGCACCAACCACCTG